GGTGAAATCAGTCATCTCCATCATAATCATGCACATCTGCTTGGCCAGCACAATGATGTCATTGCCACTGTCATCCCACTTGGACACTTCAGCATCCAGCTTGCTCTTTTCTTCCTGGAAGCTGGCAACCTGTTCCGCAATCTTTGCTTTCTGCTCCTGGGGAAGCTGAGCCATGATCGCCCGGGCACTTTGGCCAGCTATCAGCTGATCATCTTCTGTCTGGACGCTTGTTCTACTTCTGACATCAAAATCTTCTGTCTCAAAGTCAGAGTCATTCAACTCCTCGGGGGTCCTTATCATCAACACTGCTTTCCTGATGTCCCTGATGCCATTGTACACCAGGCGGGAGGCATCAATAAACTCGTTCTCATCCATTGGCTGGGTGGGGTCTGAGCTGAGGGCTTCCACAGCTGCTTCAACTTGCTCAGTGAAACGCGGCATGACTGTATTGGAAAGCAGCTTGGTGGCCTCTAGCACCTTCTCCGTGTAGACCCCTGGCTCATAGTTGTCCATCTCTGAAGTGACCACGTGAATGACCCTGGCTGCTCGGCCTCGAATTGCACCAGCTGTGCGATCCAGCCCATCCACATCTTTTTCTTGCAGAGCAATGACACATTTGTTCACATCTTCCAAAATGTGATTCTCTGAGACAGCCAAGAAGTCATCAATGGAAGTAATGTCATCTACAGCATCTGTGAGGACACGGACTTGTTTTTCCCACTGTTCTTTAAAAAGATCCATATTCCCTTGGGCCAGTTTACTCTGTGGTTTTTCCGCTAATGCCAGTGCAGCATTGATAACCTGAGGACAGAGGGCTTCTAATTGGCTTGCAGACATTCTAACAAGTTTCACACCTTCTTCATTGTTTGAGATGGAGCAGGCTAGGTTGGCAACCTCGATCAATTTGTTGGCATGTTCACGGAAAACTTGGGCATACTCCTTAACTTCTTTTTCATTTCCATTCTTTGCAGCTTCGATCAATACTAAAAGTGGAACGTTGGTTTCCAGGAAAGAATCTGAAACGTGGTCCATGACAGTTTTGCGGAGCTGTCTAGGTAAATCCCTGGTCTTCTTGGTCATTTTATCTATTGCAGAATTGAGCGCATCACTTCTTTCTTTACGTCCAGCGTTGCCCATATACTCAGAGAGCAGGTCCTGCAGGGCCTGGCGGACTGCGTTGCACTCTGCCACAATTCGCTCACGCCGATCATCACGCGTGCAAGATGAGTCAGCCATCAGGGCAGCTCCACTAATGATGCTTTCCAGACGTTCCTCAAGGGAAGGCCTGAAGCGCTCTTCACTGAAGCTCAAGGGGTCCACGATGATTTGCTTATCAAAGTTATTAAGAGCATAAGCCAATTCTCCTCCACCACCTCCCTGGTGCTGGGAGGCATCATCTGACGCAGTGGCCTGGGCAGCGTTGGAAATGCCTGTGACTGCCTGCTGCAGCTGCTTGTATATCAGGTCCCTGTTGGCCTTGTAGGCTGCGACATCAGGGTGCTGTAGGCACGCCTGGGATGCAGTATAGAGGATGGGAACATTTTTCTGCAGAATTCCTCTAGCTGCAGCCATCTGATCACGATGGCCCACATCTTTCAGTTCCTGTTGTCTTTTGGCTGCCATAATGTTCAGCTTATCCACTTCAGGTTTCAGTGCTTTATACTGTATTCCTAAGTCTTGTTCAGTGCCAGCGTTCCTCAGTTTTAAGATACCATCTTCCACAACTTTCATCTGAACAAGTAATTTGTAGACATCTGCCATGTCAGCCAAAATCAGCAGCCGGGTAACAGCCGAGAGCAAAGCTCGAGCCGCCCTCACCATGTTGCCATGCTTCACGGAAGAACAGGGATCATCCGCAAACTCTCCAGCAGCACTCTTCATTAAGTCACCTTGTTTACGAACATCTTCTACAGCAGCCACGAGCTCCTCCTTGAGAAACTGACTCTCCTTTGCAATTTTATCACCTTTTTCCAAGAAATTCTCAGTTGCTTGTTCAACAGATGCAGCCAAAACATGGGCTTTCTTAGAACGACCTCTCTTCTTATTAGAAGGCCCCTTACTGTTGGTGTTTACCAGGGTTGTAACCTGTGTAACAAGAGGCTCCAAGAGTTTGAAAGAGTTCTTTTGCAGCATATTTTGCCAATGCAATATGACTTCTGATTTCTTGACCTCTGCTTCCATGAGCGTTGACTGTGGAACCAAGTAATATGAAATCTTTGATAATGTCATTCTTTCCTCCATTTATCATGATGCTGCTTATTGGTCCACTGTGAGAATTTTTGTTTTGTTTTATGTTGAGGTATAATCCATATTGCAGACCCTAATCTTTAATGTTCTTCAGTGAGTGCTGCAAATCATCTTCACTTTCAGCAAGCACAGTTGTGTCATCTGAATATGGCAGGTTGTTAATGAGTCTTCCTCCCACCCTGATATTGTGTTCTTCATATAGTCCAGGTTCTCAGATTATTTGCTCAGCATACAGATTGAAAAAGTATGGTGAAAGAATACAACTCTTCCTGATTTTCAACCATATTCTATTTGAAGGACAGCTTCTTGGTCTATGTATACATTCCTCATGAGCAGAATTAAGTGTTCTGGAAGTTCCCATTCTTTTCATTCTTATCCACAGTTTGTTATGATCCAAACAGTCTAATGCTTTTAATTAGTCAATAAAATTGCTTTCAGGCAAGATCTATCTGACATGAGCAATAATAACTTGTTCCACATCCTCTTCTTAATCCAACTAGCATTTCTGTAAGTACCCTGTCAATGTACTGCTGCAGCCATTTTTGAACTATTTTCAGGGAAATTTTACTCACATGTGATATTAATGATATTGTTTGATAATGTACACATTCTGTGGGATCACCTTTCTTTGGAATGGGTACAAATATGGATCTCTTCCAGTCAGTTGGCCAGGTAGCTGTCTTCCAAATTTCTTGCCATAGACAAGTAAGTGCCTCCAATGGGGCATCGTTTGTTGAAATAGCTCAATAGATATTCTATCAATTCCAGAAGCCTTTGTTTTTTCCTAATTCCTTCAGTGAAGCTTTGACTTCCTCTTTCAATGTCATTTGTACTTGATTGTATGCCACCTCTTGAAGTAGTTGAACATTGGCCAATTCTTCTTGTACAGTGACTCCGTGCTCTGTGTATTGCTTCCATCCATATATGATGCCATTAATTGTCATCAAGTTGACTCTAATTCATGGCTACTTATGTGTTATAGAATAGAACATTGACAGATTGAGCACTTTATTGAAATGTATTGTTTTGTGTTTAGTGACATTTTAATTGAGTGATTTCCAGAGATCTTTTTTCCTAATGTGTCTTAGTCTGAAAACCCTGCTGAAACTTATTTACCATGGTGTTTGAAATATTGGCAGTGTAAATTCCAATATCATAGCAATATGCAAGCCACAGTAACATAAACTAATAAATTAATAGTGGAGATAGAGATAGGTTACAGATAGATTGATAGATAGATAGATAGATAGAAATACAACTCTATATTTAAACACACACTTTCCATTTCTAGTGTTGTACATTCATTCCTGTATATCTGAGTTACCATAAGTTTTCTTTTCTTCAGCTTGAAAAACCTCCCTTGCTATTTCTAATAATGCAAGTCTGCTAGCAACAAACTATCTCGATTTTTATTTGTTTGCAAATGTCTTAATTTTGCCTTTATTTATGAAATATTGTTTTGCTAGACCTAAAATTCTTGGATGAACTCTTTATGTTTCAACAGATACTTTTCAATTCCTTCTATTATCCAAAATTTCTGATGGGAATTTTCTATCAATCTTCTTCTACTCAATAGTGGGCTGTTTTTCTTTTGATGGTTCGATATTTTCTCTTTGGCTTTAGATTTAGCAGTTTGACTATGATATGCCTAGCTGTGCTTTTATGAATGTGTTTACCATACCTGTGGTTTGCTGATCATCTTTAACATTTATGTTACTGTTTTCCAGAATATTTGGAAAGTTTTCAGTATTATTTCTTCAAATATTATTTTTTCCTTCCTCTCTTTCCTTTTGTCTGCTTATAGGGTTCCAATTACACATACGTTGGACCACTTTATATCACATATATGTTGAAACACTTTATATTTCCTTCATGTTTTTGGGTTGAATAATTACTATTGATTTATCTTCAAAGTCACATATTCTTCTATTATATTCAAATGACTGTTGAACACTTCCCATATTTTTTTTTCCCCACTCTAGATTTCCAATTAGTTATTATTTATACTTTTCACTGATCTGTTACAATTCTCCATCTACTCACTCTTGAACACCAGATTCCCCTTTCATTCTAGGAATATGTTATAAGAGCTAATGTGAGTATTTCGCTTGTCAGTTGTTAGCTGCTGTTGAGTCATCTCTGACTCATAGCGACCCTACGCACAACAGAACAAAACACTGCCAAGTCTTGAACAAGCCTCACAATCCTTGCTATACCTGAGCCCATCGTTGCAGCCACTGTGTCAGTCCATCTCTTGAGGAGCTTCCTCTTTTTAATTGACCCTTCACTTTACCAAGCTTATTTCCCTCTTCAGGGGATGGTCCCTTCTGACAACATGACCAAAGTACATGAGATGAAGTCTCGGCATTCTTGCTTCCAAGGAGCATTCCAGCTGCACTTCTTCCAGGACAGATGTATTTGTTCTTCTAAAAGTCCATGGTACTTTCATAATTGTTCACCAACACCACCACTCAAAAGCATGAACTCTTCTTTGGTCTTCCATATGCATTGTCCAGCTTTCACATGCGTATGAGGCTGTTCAAAACACCATGGCTTTTATTAGGTGCACCTTAGACTTCAAAGAGACAGCTTTGCTCTTCAGCACTTTAGAGAATTCTTTTGCAGCAGATTTGCCCATTGCAATATGATGTCTGATTTCTTGACTGTTGCTTACATTGATGTTGATTGCGGAAACAAGCAATATGAAATCTTTGACAACTTCAATCGTTTCTCCATTTATCATGATGTTGCTTATTGGTTCAGTTGTGGGGATTTTCTTTTTTTTCTTTAATTTATTGTGATTTGGATGAAGATTTACAGAGCAAATTCACTTTCCATACAGCAGTTCGCATATA